ATGCTGATACTGCTGATGATGATGATTGCGATGATGGTGATCATGATGATGACTATGATGATGGTAATGATGCTGCTGCTGATGATGATGCTGTTGCCGCTGATGGTGATGGTGAGGAGGAGGCTCAGGAGGATGAGGAGGAGACTTAGGACGAGGAAGAAGGTGAGGAGGAGGAGGAGGAAGAAGAGAGAAGATAGGGGATAGAGGAGAGAGGAAAGAGGACAGAGGAGACAAGTGAGAGTAGAGAGCAAGAGAGCGGATGATGTGTTTGTGTAATGTTGATGGTGATGTTGATGATTCTGGCGAGGATGGCGGTGTTGCAGATGACGATGATAATGACGACGATGATGATGATGCTTCTGCTGATGATGGTGAAAACGATCCTGATGCTGCTGCTGATGATGATGTTGTCGATGATGATGATGCTGCTGTTGCTGATGATGATGCCGATACCGGTAATGATGTTTCTTAAGATGGTGATGCTGCTACTGTTGATGACGACGATGTTGCTGATGACGATGATGGCGATGCTGATGATGCTGATGATGATGCTGATGCTGATGATGCTGATAATGCTGCTGATGATGATGATAGTGGCGATGCTGATTCTGAATATGGAGCTGCCGATGATAATACGAATGATAGATGATGATGATGCTGCTGATGATGATGATGATGACGGTGATGCTAGGGATGGTGCTGGTGGTGGTTTTGGTGATTGTGATGCTGATGCTGATGCTGCTGCTGTCGACGACGACGATGATGATGGGGATTATGATAATGATAGCGACGAAGCTGATGACGATGATGAGGATGATGACGATGCTGATGCTGATGATGATGGTCATGATGATGGTGATGATGATGATGATGATGATAATGACGATGCTGATAATGATGCTGATGATGAGTATCATGATGATGCTAAGGATGATGCTTATGATGCTGGTGATGATGCTGCTGCTGATGATGATGATGCTGCTGCTGATGATGATGATGATGAGGATGATGATGATGATGCTGATGATGATGATGATGCTGCTGCTGCTGATGATGATGATGATGATGATGATGATGATGATGATGATGAAGAGGATGATAACCAGGAGGCGGGAAACGACGCTGATTAGGATTCTGATGATAAGGAGAAGGAAGACAAGGAGGAGGAGGAGGAGGAGGAGGAGGTGGAGGAGGAGGAGGAGGAGGAGGAGGAGGAGGAGGAAGTTCCCCCCCTGGAGGAGGGGTTGCTTTGTGGGCATAGTGAATATAGTGACGTACGTAGATCTGCTCGATTGGATCCTGCAAGGTGTGGGAGTTTTGCGTTTGAATTTGCAGCGCTAAGCAGTCGACTGCATTCGGTACGGGCAGTGTTGGGGGAGAATATGTCACTTAGATTGGGGCATGTGGGGAGAGAACTCGCAGGAGGAATCGACGAATGGAATGAGGAAGGAGTAGTCCAGGGATTTGGGAGGTCCCTGCAAGACTATCTGCCAGGTGTGGAGCACAGTAGGCACCTCCAAGAAGAAGCCGTCATCGTCTGCAGGTGCCTCGCGGACACGTCGTGCCCCATCTCCCCCGATGGCCCCCCCTGGGGCCCCAGAGGAGCGCTTGGGCGCCTCGGGGAGCTCAAAGACGGACGTCGAGTGTCCCCCCCTGGATACGTGAGGCCCCGCCCTCTTTTTTGTCCTTCCTCTGTTAATGAAAGCTGTGCGCGGCCCGCTTAGCTTCGACCGGAAGAGGCTCGCTCTCGACCCGCGGATCGAAAAAGTCCCCCCCCCCCTGGACCCCTCACGGCAGGACTGGTTCAGTCACTGCAGCGTCGTTGGCACTTGGCCTGCTTGCTCGGGGCAGCACCTCTGGGGCCGCGTGCGGCCTCATCCTAATGGGGGCCTCGTATGGGGGCCTCTTCGGGGTCTCGGGTGCCTCCAGGGGCTTCCCTTTGTGGGGGGGGGGCCTTTCTGGCAGTCTCGGAGGCCATCTTTGGGCGAAGGGCCCGGCCGTTGACTTCGGATTCCCCCTTTGGGGACCTCTTGGGACCTCTTGGGACCTCCTCTTTGGGCCTCTGGGGATCTCTTGGGATCTCTTGGGAATTTTCTGGGCCTCTGGGGACCTTTGGGGACCTCCGGGGACCTCTGGGGACCCATGGGGATCTCTGGGGACCTCTTGGGAGCCTTTGGAGCCCTCTTGGGAGGCTTCATGTGCTGTCTGGGGGCCATGCTGGGCCGTTTTTGGGCCGCCCTGGGAGCATCTCAGGCTGTCTTGGCCCGATCTTGAGGCCACTTGTGCCGTCTGCGGCAAGCGGGAGCTCCAAAGGGCGGTGACGTCAAAACTTTTCAAAAACCAAAGAAGCAGATTACGACATTGAGACTCTGGGGGCTCTCTTGAGACTGTCTGGGACCGAATGCAGGCCATCTTGATGCCTTCTCTGGGGAGTGTCTTCGGGCCATCTTGGGACCTTCCACCCACTGCTTCCAGCTCCCTGGGCCTTCTGGGAGCTCCCTGGGAGTCCCCCGGGGCGCTCTCCTGGGGCGGCCTTGAGGGCCGGGCGGGGCGCAGCCCTGCCGTGGCGACGCGCAGCCGAGGAGGCGCCGGGGCCCATGCAGACGACGCAGGCGCCGAGGCTCGAAGGCGAGGCCCCCGGCAGGCGCCCTGCGCCGGGGGCTGGCATCGCGATGGCGGGCGCGGGGCGCCACCGCTCGGCCGAGGCCGCTGCGCTGGCGGGCGCCGCCGCGGCGACTGCCGCGGCGGCCGCCGCGCTCGTGCTCTGGGCGCGCCGGCGCCGGGCCGGCGCGGCGGAGCGGCGCGCGCCGAAAGGCGGCGGCCCGCCCGCGGTGGCGCAGCAGAAGAAGCGGGGGCAGCGATGGCCGAGGCGACGATGGGGCCCTACACCTCCTCCTCCTTCTTCTTCTTGTCCTCTGCCTCCTCTTCCTCCTCCTCCTCCTCCTTTCCCTCCTCCTTTCCCTCCTCCTTCTCCACCTCCTCCTCCTTCTCCTCCTCGTCGTCGTCCTCTTCCTCCTCCTCGTCCTCATCCTCCTCCTCCTCGTCGTCGTCCGCCTCCTCCTCCTTTCCCTCCTCCTTCTCCTCTCCTCTTCCTCCTCCTCCTCCTCCTCGTCCTCGTCCTCCTCCTCCTCCTCCTCCCTCCTCTCTCCTCCTTCTCCTCCTCATTATCTTCCTCCTCCTTTCCGTCCTCCTCCTCCTCCTCCTCCTCCTCCTTCTCCTCCTCCCCCTCCTCTTCTCCTCCTCCCTCGTAATCTTGCTCGTTCTCCTCCTGCTCGTCCTCCTCCTCCTTCTCCTTCGGGCGAACAGCGGAGGAGGAAGAGGTATCCATACCGCTACCCTTGCCTCATGTTTGCCTTTTTGGACTCCTGCTGGGGAGGCCCTCGTCGCCAGCGCGCTAGGTTCGCCTCGAAGTTCTGGTCAGAGCGCACCCCAGGAGAGATCTGGCGAGTAGCCGTATTTTTTTGTATCCTCAGAACGGTGCGAATACAGTCGAGCATCCGATTCAGAAATCTCCTCCCGAAAAGCTGTGCCAGCGTTTCTTAGCCGACTTGCCCGGAAGCTGGCCCCGTTTCTTGAGCACGTTCGCCCCCTCCAGCGTGAACAGCAGACATTGGTGCAGACATTGACTGATAGTTTGATTGATCATATTTTCCACTGTATCCCCTGGGGGAGCAATACGTGTACCCAGGTGCGCCGATGGTTCATGTCTTGGGCAAGGCTCCCCTGCGAATGCGTGCAATGCCCGCCCCTGGTATATTCGCCCCCATCGTCCTCCCCGATGAAGGGGCTGAGAACGTTAGGAGCCTTGGCCTAGCGTGTCGCGGGGCCGGTTCTGGCCCAACACGCCTCGGTGCGACACGCTGTCCGCGTCCCAGTCGCCAGGCGTCGACGTCCCGAGCTGCTTCCAGCCTGCGGCCCGCGGAGCGGAGCGACGCGCTATCCGCTCGCAGGGCACGTCGTGTTGCCGGGGCCGCCGCTGCGACGCGCTAAGCTAAAGTTCCCGACCCTGTCCCCAGGGTGGAGTGCATCGAGCACCAGTCTCGAAAAAACGAGAAACGGCATGGACATCGTGTCTCGAAGGGCCGCGCGGATTTATGGGGTTGGCGCTGGGCCCCCCTGGCGGCGCCTCCTGCGCCTCCCTCGGCGCGCTCCGCGCGCCAGGGAGAGGGACCCAACGCCGATCCAAGAAACCCACGCAGACCTCAGAGAAATCGCGCTTCTGCAGTGTTTCGTTCATCCAGCACTGGCCCCCGATCGCCCACTGATCGTCGATCTGGGGGCGGGGATGACCCCACGCCGCCCAGGAACGTTCGGTTTCGCAGTCGGGGGCCTGTCGCCGACGATTCCAGGTCGACGTTCCCGCCCCCTGGGCCAGCCCCGTTTCACCCGTCGGGCGTCGAAAGTAGGTGTTTTTGGATTCCCAGATTTCAATCTACTTTAGGCGCCTTCCTACTTCAATGATCGAGTGGCTTTACCTTTTCCGTTCTCTTCAGGGGGCGGGCGGAAGCCGAATCTACTTTCAACGCCTTCCTTCTTCATGTATCTGTCCACTTCTTCCGACCGGCGGGTATCGCTTCCCCTCAGAGAAGAGCGACGCGCGGCTGGAGTGGTGGCAGCGGATCAACGAGGTGAAGCCCGCCCTGGTGCTCCCGGCACCGTCGCGCGGTGGGTCGGCGCGGCAGTGCGGCGCGGGCGGGGCCCACGAGGCGGTGGTGCGCGTGGTGCACGATCGGATGGGCCGGGGCCGCGACTGGCTAGTGCGCGATTCCGACTACGGGGAGGCGCCCGCGCATTCGGCAGTGAAGGCCAAGGTCAACGGCGCGCTGGTGGCCGCCGCCCAGGAGCTCTTCGGGGAGGCGCTGCCGCATCTGCTGGCCAGCGATCCGCAGAAGCTGTTGCTGATCCTCGACGCCCCGCAGTACGGCACCCTCCGGGAGCTAGTGGCCGCCTGGCCACCTCTGCGGTGCTGCCAGCAGGTTGTGATACCGCAGGCGGACCTGCGGCACTACTTCGAGATGGTGCTAGGGGAGCGAGCCATGCCATAAACCTTGAAACGCGGTGGTCCGCGCGGATTTCACGGATCGGCGCGGGCCCCGCGCCGATCCGAGGAACCCGAGCGGACCTCCGATGTTTGATGTCCATGGCATGGCTCGCGCCCCCGCAGGTGCGCGGGGGGGAGTTCTACCCGGGCGTGCGCGCCCAGCGGCTGGACCACTGGCTGTGCGCGAACGCCTCGCTGGGCCTGAGCTGCCTGGTGGCCTTCCTGGACTACGAGTGCCGCCTGGCTGGGGCCATGTCCGCCAAGATGTGCCCCGCGGCCGACGTGATGCGCTACTTCCGCTTCGGCTACCCCGCGGAGCCGGTGTCCCTGCTGCTGCTCACCGTGGGGCTGGAGGAGCTCCGAGGTCAAGCAGCGGCGCAACGTCCCGGCTCCCCTATAGGCGCATCCAAGAGTGGTCTAACACCCTTTTTTCTGGTGGACACGTAACGTTCTGAATGTTCTTCGAGCATTTCTGGCTGAGGCTGCCTTGTTGTAACACATCGGGTTGATGCCCTAAGAGCATTGCTTTCATTGTGTTCGTTATTGGAACATTTTTGGGTTCTAAGAGCATGTCGTGGTAGGTCTATGGGGATGCCAGGACGGTCGGTCCCTGCTCAAAGAGGAGAAGAGGGCACGGCAGGTTCAAGCAGCGTTGGCGCGCCAGCGACGCCGGCAGCTGCGTTCAAGGTTGCATTCTGCGACGCGGAAGCACCGAGGGACACGGTGACTCACCGACAAACGTCAGAACAACAACAACAACAACAACAACAACAACAACAACAGCAACAGCAACAGCAACAACAACAACAACAAAACACAACAACAACAACAACAACAACAACAACAACAACAACAACAACAACAACAACAACAATTACTAGCACGTGGGGACACTCCGTTCTCACCAGTGCCAGGGTTTTCATAGGAGGCGGGCAATACCCCCACTTTGTGGGGGGGCCGGTTCAAGCTCTACCAAATTTCCAAACGACTCTTCGCCACCACCCACACCCAGCTTCCCGCCCTATGACGTTCGGACACTTCACTTCGTGGCATGCGGACGACCGTGGCTACGATGGCCCTGGCAGGTGCGCAACCGTTGTCGCAGAAGTTCGAAAAAGTTGCTCGCAAAAGCCCGTTTGACAGAACAACAAAACAACCGGATCCTGTACACAGCCTCTTTTCTGAGGCTTCCTCACGAAAGTGATGAAAATGTAGCTGCGGCCTAGGCGGCGCAGGGGGGGCGCGCACCAGGGGGCCCAACAATAATTATTCTTTAGAATAAATAATGTTCAACAGCAACAACAACAACAACAACACCACCACCAACAACAACAACAACAACAGCAGCAACAACAACAGCAACAACAACAGCAACAACAACAACAACAACAACGGCAACAACGACAACACCAACAACAACATCAACAGCAGCAACAACAACAACGCCAACAACAACAACAACAGCAACAATAACAACAACAACAACATGTCTTCCTCTATGTAATGGGTCGTAGATCCTTCGCGGCGGATCCAGGCCATTTGCGAGTAGTTACTTTGCGAGTAGTGGAACGCGAGTGTCCAGTCACGCTACTGGACCCGACGGAATTCAACCTAGAACGATCGGGGCCGCGATCGGTTCAAGGCTGAACGATCGTTGAGGTGTTGAGAACCGTTGCGCGCCGACGCCGCACAAACACGCCGTACCCACTACTGCTACCCTCCCTCGTATTCGCCTTTTGGGGCCTCCTGGGAAGCCTTCGTCGCCAGGGCAGATTAGCCTCGAACGGTCGGCGTGCGCCCAGGCAGAGGTCCGGGGAGCAGCGATCTGTGGGTAGCGGTTGGTTTTTCCCCCAGAGGAGCCCGCCGCCACCGTCGAGGAGGTGGACGAGTTCGTCCGCGACGAAGCCGCGCTGAACGGCTACACGGCCGAGCTCCGCGAGGCCCGGAAGCACCGCGTGGCGTCGCTGCTCGGGGCCTCTCCCCGGGCGTGCTCTGGGCCAGCAGTTCGAGGCGCACCTGGCCGTGGCGACGAGGTCTCCCCAGGAAGCCCCAGACAAGGCGAAAACGAAGGAGGGGTGGCAGAGTGGGTACCTTCTCCTCCTCCGCTGTTCGCCCGGAGGAAGAAGAGGAGGAGGAGGCGGAGGAGTAGGAGGAAGAGGAGCAGGACGAGGAGGAGGAGGAGGAGGAGGAGGCGGAGGAGTAGGAGGAAGAGGAGCAGGACGAGGAGGAGGAGGAGGAGGAGGAGGAGGAGGACGAGGAGGACGAAGATGATGAGGAGGAAGGAAGAAGGGGAGGAGGGGGAGGAGAAGGAGAAGGAGAAGGAGGAGGAGGTGGAGGAGGAGGAAGGTACCTTCTCCTCCTCTGAGCTCCGCGAGGCCTGGAAGTACCGCATGGCCTCGCTGCTCTACGTCGTCCGCCGCTCCCCGGAGGGCGCGGAGGCGACCGCCCAGCGGGCGTGACGCGCGGGGTAGAGTCTCCCGGCGGGTCTGCCAAGGGTGCCGTGCGGTGGTTGGCAGACGCTCCGAGCGTGGGATGGCGCGAGTCCGTGGGATGCGCTGGCGCTGGCCTCCTCGGAAGCGCGTGGGCCTAGCGGAGAGGCATGTGTGCGGGTTCGGAGGAGGAAGAGGTACCCATACCTCTCTACCCTTCGCCCGTGTTCGCCCTTTCTTCGGCCTCCTCGGAGGCTCTCGTTGCCACCGCTGGATTCGCCTGGAAATCCGTATCACAACGCCCCCCAGGAGAGGCCCAGGGAGTAGCGGTATCGGTACCTTTTGGTTTCCCCAAATTGCGCGAGTGGAAGGTCGATTGCAGAATTGGTTTGCCCACGTGCTGTTTGTCCGCCGGATCTACCGATGTCAGCCAGCGTGGGCCCCAAACAGTGTGCGTTTCTAGCATTTAAAGGTTGTGCAATCTAGGTGGACAGTCTATGTGGTGTAACTCACCCTGCCGAGCTTGAAGTTGTCAACTCCACTGCTCGCCCAGCCATCCCACCCACCCACCCGCAACTTTGTTTGCAAAACCCATGCGGCGGCGATTGCGATGTCCGCTCGGCGGTGTCTGGCGCATCGCTGTGGCCGCGCTGGCCTGCGCATGCTCGCGCACGCAACGGCCAGCTAGTTTGGCGCGACCGACGCGGCTGCGGTGGCGCTGACCGCTGGGTATTTCCCAGCGGGCACTTCATTTCGGGTGGGCCGCTGGGACGGGCGCGGTATCATGGCAACGTCGACAACGGTAGACACGATGATGATGGCGGCGATGCTGGTGACGATGATAATGACGACGGCAAGGCCACTGATGGCGCCGATGCTGATCACGCCGACGACGATGACGGCGTCCTCGCGTTGGTGACGGAGGTTTTGGAAGAGTTCGACATGCGAACGCGACCGGCGCGCGAGAGTGGCCCGCGTGGTGTTCTTTGACGCGGACCGTGCGCCCCCAGCAAGCGAGCAAGGACGGCCGCATAACATCGACAGGCGGCGCGAGAGGCCCGTTTGGCAGCATTGTAGGAACATATTGGACATACGGCCAAGGTTATACATACATGTATGTATGTATATATATATATATACATATAATTCGCAAGGGCGCGAGGGCCTGCTTTTAACAACGCCGATGTTGCAAAACCGTCTGCGTTTTATTTTTGTTGGGGCACTCGATTGTGACGCCCCCGCGAAACCCTAGATTATTTCAAGAATTTCGGCATGCGCGCGCGACGACGCGCGCGTGTGCAGTTTGTTCCGTTGTTGCAGAAGGTTTTTGCGACAGCACCCGCGCAACGACTTTCGACCGATTTCGACACGCGCGCGCGAGATGCCCGTGTGGTTAAACATAATGCACAGGTTGAAACACTTCTGGTTTCTCTTTTACTTAAGAGCAGGAGCGCGAACGGAGATGTTGTTTTGAAACCCGCTGTTGCAAAACATGTTTGTATTTTCCGGGGCGCTCGATTTTGAAACCCTTACGCAACAGGTTTTTTTTTGTTTTTTTGTTTTTTTGACAGATTTGGGCATGCGCGTGCGACGGCCCGCGCGCGCACTTCGACCAGTTCTTGGGAAACGGTGGCAATGGAAAGTTATGCTTGTGTTGCACGAGTGTGGGTGCATCATACAATTTGCAGCGGATGATCAAGGGGGGGTGAAACCATGTTAGGTTGGGATGATCCGAGTCCATATGGAAGATGGACGACTGGGCGGGACCGTATGTACATTGCAGTACGAAAAGAGGTACCGTTGAGTCCGGGGGTGAGGATGTAGATCGTATTGCCTGTTTCAAGACAGGACAATCAACGTTGTGCAATACATGCGGTGCAGGCTACGTTGTTCAATCTAGATTGTGCAGCCTGGTTTGCGTAACGTATGTATGTGTGTATATATATATATGTCTATAAACATAGAGTGCGATCTACGGGGTCCAGACACAATGCCCAATCTCAGTGAAACAATATATGGCTGCAGCCTGTGTGACACAGCCGATGTGTGCAGCCTACGTTGTGCAATATGGAGCGTGCAGCTCACGTGGTGCTACCTAGGTTGTGCAACCTGTTGCGTGCATTAAAGGTTTCCCAATATATCTTGTACAACCTGTTGCGTGCAATTCATGTAGTGCTACATATGTGGTAGAACCATTGTGTAACATATGTAAGTACATATAGGTGGTGCAATTTATGTGGCACAAGCGATGTGGTGCAGTCTGCGCGGCAGAGTCTATATGGGGCATCCGATGTTGCGCAGTGCATGTGAACCATTATGTGTGGTGCGATGTGTGTAATGACATTTATGTGGCGCCATATATGCGGTGCAACCGACGAGGTGCAATCTATGTGTTGCAACATACATGGTGCAGTATATGTTCTGGAATCTTTGTGCTGCAATTTATGCGGTGCAATCGATGTGGTGCAATCTATGTTGAGTAGGCGGCGACGGAACGGGCGGCGACGAGGCGACGACGGGGCGTCGATGGCGGCCAGATAGCCACCAGACCGAAGACACGACCGAGACGACGGGCGGCGACGAGGCGGCGACGGGGCGGCGACGGCAAGTACATAACCGCCAGACCGAAGACACGGCCGAGACGACGGGCGGCGACGAGGCGGCGACGGGGCGGTGACGACGAGTACATAGCCGCCAGACCGGCCGCACGGCCCAGTTCCGTAGAGCATACGTAAGAACTCCTCTGTGCAAGCGTTGCTTTGGGAGAAGTATGTACCATTTACGTAGATATACAAAACATGATGTGCATTGATTGTGGACTCGAAGATATCACTTGTGAGGTACATCGAACTGTAATCGATCCCGCACTCGACTACCGTCGCGCGCCGTGGCGCGCCATGGCGCGCCGCTCGAGGCCCTGGGTGCGGAGCGCGTGAAGGAGCAGCTTGGCAGCGGCCCTTCTGCCGGGGGGCGTGTCCGTGGCAACCTGGTGCCCAGCCGTCCGCGGCTGCGACTTGAACGTGGACACCGCCCAGCTCAGGAACCGACACGCCCAGACTGGGGACGGAATGGGACGGGGCTAGGGCGAGGATAAATCCATTGCAGAGCGTTCTTGAACGCTCTAAGAGCGTTCTGGAGCGCTCTGAAAAGGCCGCGGCTCTCGAGACATCCTCCAGAGCCGCCGGATCTCCGGATCTCAGAGATTCCCCATTCGTCCTCACCCGAATTTGTCTTCGTCCGGGCTTCATCTTACGGAACATATGGGTACGATGCCCAACAGCAGCGTGTGTTCACGTGGAATAAGATTTGCAGTCCGCCGTGGCCCCTTTGGCAGAACATCGTGTTATTTTGACAGCAGGGCCAGTTCATGTGACAGCATCTCTTGTGTAAGTGGGCGAGAATCGCTTTCAACATGCAAAGAGCTGTTGTCAGAAGGGATCCGAAGGGCATCAACCCTTGTTCCACATGAACGGGCACTGCTGCTGTGCATCGTGCCCATCTGTTTTATCCCCACTCTGGGCGTGCAGAAGGAAAGGCGCATGGATATTGTTGGGGCAGTTGGGCATTCGTTGTCCTGAAGGGCGCTGTCGGTGCGTTGCCTTGACTGATGCTCGGGGAGAGTCGTCCCATCCAGGACCACGGTCATTACATTCCGATCCACATCAACTTCAGTATTTCTGGGATGCCCGTTGGATTGGAGTCGACGTCTGTTGAATGACTGTACAGGAAAAAATTACGCTGCAGTGCACACAACATATTTAATGCACCAGTGCTGGTCTGAACCCACGAAAGTCCCAGAACGGGTCCCGCAACTACGTGGTATAGACGTCAAAGAGGCCCCAAAGTGGCGACATAGGGGCAGTTGGAGTGGTCTCACAGGGCTTTCCGCAGGATCTGGGCACGATACGGCATTGGTCCATAAAGAAACTGGGCGAAGGAATATCTTCGGTCACCGCCTAGAGGCTATTTCGCACCTTCTTTTGGTCCGTGTTGGCCGTTCTGTGACCGTCTTGGTTCCATTTTGGAGCGTGTTGGGCCCGTCTGCGGAGAATCGTTGGGCGTCACGGGGTGTCTCGGAGGCCCCTCGGGGCGTCACGGCGCCTCCTTTGCAGCGGCCTCCTCGACACCTTGAGGTCGTCCTGGGAGTTTCGGAGGACTGGTGGAGGCAAGATGCGGCTCGTATCAAAGAATGGCCAAGACGTTTGGCAGCAGCCAGGGAGATGATGTCTACCGGAATTGCCCGCATCGCGACGCGTGCCTCCACACCGCAGGGGCTCAGACCGTGGTGGCAGATGTGCGCCTGGCAACACGCAGGGAAGCGAGGTGTAGTTCGGATGCCCGTATGGCGCCGCTCTGAGGGACCCTCCAGGGGCTTACGAAGTGATGCGAGTTGTGCATCTGGCAGTAGCCAAGGGAGTCCTAGGTCTACTCTGGACGCTCGTGTTGCTCCGCTCTGCTGGGCCACTCCAGGCCCAGGCCGTAGAAGTTATTCCAGAAAAGGGCCTCGTCTTCGAGGGATCGAGACCTTGGCACCTCTTCCTCGGCGGAAGGTGGCGAAAGGGGGGGCGGAGGGCGGCGGAAGTAGAACGAGGGCGGCTCCGCAGGCAGAGGCCAGCGGAAGGCCAGCGGACGCTGACGGAGGTAAGGGTCTGCTCGCCAAGAGATGACCTTTTGGGGGGGGGTCCAGGGCTTCCGGAGCCCGCCTCACGTGAGGCAGGTGCTCGTGTCGCAGGCCGCGAAACGGCCCAGGAAGTCGGCATCGGTCTGGATGCCTGCGCCGCGCCGCCCCGCTGGACCCCTCCGGGGGCGCAGGCGGCTCCGACACCTGGGTGCCCTGCAGCCTCTCGGGGGTGGTGCGGCTCGTCGCGCCGCCCCGGCCGCATCTCCAGGGGCTCGGGACGCAGCGACGGCTGTCCGCGTGGCAGCACCGGCGGAGACGCGCGGTATGGTGTGGATGCCCACGCCTTGCGGCTCCGTGGGGCTTCTCCAGGGGGACGGGAGCCGGCGACAGCTGCGCGTCTGGCCGCACC